TTATCATCATCTTCTTCTTCTTCTTCTTCCCCTCCAACTTCTCAAGATCCATCCCTTCCACAACCGCATTAATCACAAGATCAATGATCCTCGCCGCCGTCGCACTCTCCTTCCTATCCATCTTCATCTCGGCCTCAATCTCAGCAGCAACCTCGTCTCTGGTAGCGCGAATCCCCTCTCTCATAGCCGTATGCAGACCGACTTTTTCCGGATCGGCAAGTGATTGATATTCATCTTGGACATCGTGATCGGAAGGCGGTCTAGCCGCAACGCCACGGATGAATAAATCGCCTGCTTTTTCCAGAGCGATTTTCGCTTTCGTAATCATCATCATTCTTTCCCCCCCGTCTTCGTCTTCTTCTTCTTCTTCGTCTGCACGGACAGGAAAATAAATCTGCTGGAGATCGGCAATCCTCTTCTCCCCCATGATTCTCATCCATCTTAATCTCTCCAATGCCCAGCGCGCAGGCACGCGTTGTTCATTGAGGACTTCGTCGCGGATCCTTTCGGCGAATTGAAGTGCGGAATGGGCATCGCTCGTGACAGCATTGAGGATAGAGACCCCTGCCTCTTCTTCTTCACTTATCTTTTTCCTCCTCCTATTACTATTCCCACCACCACCACCACCACCACCACCACCACCACCACCACCAACAAGAAAAAGGGCTTTTCGTAACCTTTCCTCTCCGGCATTTCGTTCCTCGCTCGTCTTCCTACTATTACTGCCAACAAGCAAAGCCTGACCATCCCTCATAGCGATGGGAAAGGGTTTAAGAGGTAACATGTGCAACTTAATCCCTCCTTCCTCTTCTTCTGGACGTAAAGCATCAGGCGAAACAATCCTGTTACCGTCGAAGAAATCCCCAATGGGAAAGAGTCCAAGTCGGACCCTGAAGCGCATCTGTTTCATCGCGTACATGGCCGCGTGGCCGAGGGCTTCGGCTCGAGCAGTGGCTGGATTGAACCATGGACGGAGAGGGGCGAAGAAGAGGTAAGGGAGGAATCCGCCTCCTCGGGAGACGATCAGGCCGGTGCGTTCGAGGAGTTGGGAGATTATGGTGTAGGTTTGTAGACCCGAGTTTTTTTTGGTCGACTGTTGTTGTTGTTGTTGTTGTTGATGTTCCGGTTCGGGTATCCAGATCTTTTCCTGCTTTGCGTTTTCAACCCCCGCTTGCTTTTTTAATATTGATCGGATCACTGCCGGATTAATTCCCATCTCTTCTTCTTGTTCTTCTTCTTGTTCTTCTTCGTTTTCGTTTTCGTTTTCGTTTTCTCCCACCACAGCGAAATGCGTAACCCTCCCATTCATATACCTCATCACAACCGTGACGTAATTCGGTTCCGTATCCCTTCTTCTTCCTCTTCCTCTTCCTCTTTTCTCACTTGTATCAACCACCCAGAAAACATATTCTTTCCCTTGTATATCATCATCATCATCATCATCATCCCCATCCCCCCTTCTTCCTCCTCCTCCCTCCCCGACACGCACACCCACCCGTGCTCTAACAACTTCCGGCAAAGAATCCACCAACGCATCCAAGATAACGCGTAACCCCGCCGCGCGAACAGGTGTATCTCGCGTGCGTTGGAGATTATCTAGGATGTAGATGGATTCGTCGATTCGTGAGTTGATGTCGATGTCGGAGAATAGATTTTCTGTCACGGGTTGCGGGCTGAAGGAGAGCTTGCTGCTTGTGTTGGCTATTAGGACTGAGGCTTTGCGGAGCCAGGGGATGGGGATGGGGTTGGGGTTGGGAGGTTCTTTTTCTTCTTCTTCTTCGGACATGGTTTGTTATTTGGTTGGTTGGTTGGTAGGGAGGGGAGTATGTGTATTAGAGATGATGGATGAAGATGAAGATGAAGATGAAGATGTAATGTCGAAAATGTGTTGTTGGTTCATAAGGTAGGGTAAGGTAGTGAACTGGATTAATTGAATCGAACCTGTGTCTACTTACTTACTTACCTTACCTACATGTATCCATCTCGAGAACTATTACAAAGGGATGAGAGACCGCAACCGGTTACGCCGGTTTTCGATCTCAAGTCATTTTTTTGTTTTCTTGTTCTTTGTTTTATGTTAGACTAAGGTAGGTAGCTGTATGGGCTTTGTAGAAGAACTTCAACCGAATGATTAGTTTACCAGTAGACATGTTTTACTAACCAAATATCATCGATGGATGCAAAATAAGTGTTAAACTTTAAATATGTAGCATTACAAGCCTTCAAGATAATGCAGGTGGATTTTGTTTCAGAAAAGTGCCTAGCACGTGAATAGAGTTATAGATAGAGAAGTCAAAGGGGCATGTTTTGCATTATTATATTTTTGAATTTGATGTTTGCAACCCCTATTTGCTTGTTTTAGTCCCCAATACTATTACCAACAAGGGTGTTGATATACTAGATTATTTGTTGGGTTTTCAACAATAAGGGAGTTTGGCCGAGTGGTTAAGGCGTCGTGTTTAGGTACACCCGGCGAAAGTTGGGTTACCATAAATCCCGCGATGGGAAACCGCGCAGGTTCGAATCCTGCAGCTCTCAATTTACTTTTTGTTTTTTTCTATGTACTTTTTGTGTTTTAGAATTTGTCGTTACTAAGAAGTTGAGCTTGATTGTACTTTTATCTCTTTATTTTTGCACCGTATCGAGTAATGAGCCGGTTTGATATCTACCAAAGCATTTCTTTGAGTCGAGTTGACGACACTGCCATATGTTTCAGCCACTACACACATAAAGTACTAATAAATATGCACTGATTAGATGCTACAGAAGCAGCACTCCCCGGCCTAGGTACTCCCACCCGGATTGACCGTAAAGTTTATAGGGGTTCCGGACATGGTCCCGTCTCTACGCGGCAGAATAGTTAGTCCTTGCTTATACCATTTGTTTTGCCGGCGCAACTTTTCTAAGCAGGACTCAACGGAGCCGGGAAATAATAAAGGCGTCGCGCTAAACCTTTTGCGCTTACGAGTATCCGGGAGTCCGCTTCCTTTCCTTTTTGTAGTGGCCAAGATTATAAGCAACGTTTTCAACAATCTTTTTCTTTCGAGGCAGGTTCGCCTTTTATTGTGTGTGGATGTAGGGAATGCCGGAGACACGCACGACAGAAGAAGGATTCCGGCCCCAGGCAAAAAGCGAGCGATCGATCCCCTTCACTAGGTAGGTAATCACCGTGGTGTTCCTTGTTTTATCGCACTAAGAGTACTACAATGCTCTGTCCCGTTGTTCCTACGATTTTGGGGGGGAAGGAAGCTCTATCGAAGTGGCTCTTCAGAGTTCTACATCACTCCGAATCCCCGGGCGAACAGCTGGCTGAGTCGACTCGATTGATACAGATTTCCGTCTTAGGACAGCATATGTTTTCCGGTAAATCGAGAGTTGAAAATATTTTATTATTTAATCGTGAGAGTAGGTATGTCTTTCAAGGTAAATCAAGTGGAATTAGTTTTGTCCAACCTAGTCTAACAGATTGTTGTATTGATTGATTTGATCTGGAGCTCCGGAGCTACGGAGCTACGGAGTTGGCACCGTAAAGTCCTAATCACTGGCAAGAGTGTGGGGTTATTTAGAAACCCCCTCTGACTCCCGGAGCAACGCGGAGCAACGCGGAGTTCGGAGGAGCAGCGCGGAGTAATTATAGATAGGTATGCGAAAGCAAGAAATGTTCTAACCTAACCTACCTAACTGATTGTAAGTAGGTAGGTAATCCTTCGCCGGTCTTACAATTACCCAGACTCGCATGACGACATCGTTTGCATATGTAATATCAAGAATCTTACATTGAATGAAGAGAATCAAGTTGGCCTTAACTACGTCCGCGAGTATATAGAAGAGACTTCATTTCTCGATTCTAAGAAGCTGTCAAACACAACAAACAAACCACATACTTGATTAACATCTCCAAACACTTAAAAACTATAAATCAGTCATCTTTATCATTACTCCCACATTTCCCGCAAAGTGTTTTGAAAAAAAAAAAAAAAAAAAAAAAAAACCATGGCATCAACCGCAGACAGATCGAAACCCTACATCCCCAATAACACCCTGAAACAAGATGGCTGGTCCAACGATGAAGAAGCGACAGCCACCTGTTTCTGCGGAACTGTACAACTAGCTTTGGTATGTATTTCACCCCACTCCCACTCCCACTCCCTCGACCCTCTACCTACCTACCTACCTCACCTTTAACTAACAATGATATTTTACAGCCACTTAAAGCCCCCGGCCTAGTCGACATCTTCGTCTGCAACTGTACGGACTGCCGCAAGATCACGGCGTCCATGTTCGCATCCAACATCGTCGCCAAAGACGACCACGTCAGACATATCAGGGGTCAAGAGAACCTCAAGAGTTTCAGCCAGGCGGCGACGATCGGATCCGGTAAACACATGACGAATTGGTTTTGTCAGACTTGCGGGACGTTGCTGTATCGGACTAGCGAGAGGTTTCCCGGTGTCAAGATTGCGCGTCTCGGGACTGTCGATGATTTTAATTTGGCCGAGGTAAGAGATTTTGGGGGGGGGGGGGGGGGCGCGGGGGCGGGGGGGCGGGGC